TTAGGGTCTGTCTTATTGGGATTTAAAGGTGTATCTACTCCTGGTGTTCAGTTTGAATCTACAAATAAAATAAACATTAATAATGTAAATGTGATTAGAGTAAAATGTAATATTGCAAACGGGTCCTATTTAAATGGCAACAAATCACACACCATACATAGCTTTTATCCAGAAGCTCCTCCTGGCTACAAAATTATCGAAGTTCCAAGAAATATTATATATTTTCCTGTAAATAAGAGAAGTTTAGATGTTGTCAGTATTACATTTGCCGATCAACACGACAAGGCAATTGACTTTAACGGAGAAGAAACTACAATTACTTGTCATATAAAAAAGATATGAGAATTTATAAGAATTTATCTATAAGTGTACAAAATGCTAGGTTCCTAAAGTCAATAGGACTAAAGTTAAAATTTTCTATTAATAAAAATGGAAGATTTTCTAGACGTTACAGGGAAATCCCAATTCGACGATAGTGTGGTTAAAATTACAAATCACTCCTATGTTCCCCACAATACTTTAGCAATAAATAATTCTGATGAAATTCGAATATGTATTAATAATCAAGATTTGCTAACTCTACCATGTAGGAGTTATCTGTATATTAAGGGAGAAATTGAAAATCATGATAAAGGTCATTTTATAAATAATGCATTTGCGTTCTTATTTGATGAAATTAGATACGAAGTTGCAGGTAAAGAAATAGACATTGTAAGAAACCCAGGAATTTCTAGTCTTATGAAAATATTGAGCTCTTACAATAAAACTACTAAATTGTCAAATGTAGCATTTGATTCTGACACGAATTTAAAAGAGTTCCATAAAGGTGGTAAGTTCAGTACTTGTTTGCCATTAGAGTTGTTAATGGGTGTATTTGAGGATTTTAATAAGGTTTTAGTAAATGTCAAACAAGAATTGGTGTTGAAAAGATCCAAAAATGATTTGAATTGTATATTAACAACCACTAGTGCTCCAGCCAGTGGCACTGCTGATACGATTCCCAAAATTACACTTAACTCAATTCAATGGGTAATGCCACACGTGATACCATCAGATGGAGAGAAGTTACAATTACAAAAGATGTTATTGCAAAATAAAAATTTGCAAATTGCATTTAGAAGTTTAGAGCTGCATGAACTTCCATCATATCCCAATACCACAAGACATACATGGTCAGTAAAGACATCTTCAAGTTTAGAGAAGCCTAGGTATATTATATTTGGTTTCCAAACAGCTAGGGATAATAGTGCACGAAAAAGAACTGATGAATTTGATCACTGTAAATTAAAAAATCTCAAAGTATTTCTAAACTCTGAATATTATCCTTATAGTGATTTAAATCTTGACTTTGAAAATGGAGATGTCTCTAAAGCTTATGAGATGTTTATGAGGTTTAGAGAGACTTACTATAATACTATCCCAGATCCTATGATTAGTAGGGCTGAGTTTATGAAGAAATATCCACTAATTATAATAGACTGTTCTAGACAGAATGAAACAGTGAAGGAAGGAATTGTTGATATTAAATTAGAGATTGAAACTGCAGAAAATGTGCCAGCAAATACATCTGCATATTGTTTGATAATACATGATAAAGTGTTTGAGTACAATCCTTTGTCAAATGAGATAAATAAAATGTAAATAAAAGATGAAAAACATTCAACAAGAATTGGTTGACTCTGCAAATCAAATACGAGAGAAATATAGAGCTTTAAAACGTGGCAAGTTTCTAGAGGCTGAAGAGAGGTTTCAAACATTCCAACCTTTAATAGAGCCATTACAAGAATTAAAAAAAATCACAGCTATTGGCAAAACAGAGAGGCCTCAAATGGAGATACTCCCAATGACTCCATCTAGAATATCAATGATACCAAGATTACAACCATTACAACCATTACAGCAATCCACTCCACAGAAATTAGATTTTGGTCTTTTAGCATCAGACTATTTAGGAAATTACCTCAGTAAAAGTAGTATGACAGACACTACATATGGTATTAGACGAGAAGCAAATAAATTTTTATTGGAAATAAGGAAGTTGATATTGCCAATGATGATGTCACAGTTGCAAATAAAACCTACAAGGGGACAAAAGGCTTGTGGCAGTTGTTAACTTTAAAAGAACCTGAGGATTATACTCAGGTTGATTTGCAAAATTATAAAGAGATTTTGGAAGCCACAAATGGACATTTAAAGAGTTACAAAGATGGTGCACCAATTTCAAGTAATAGACATACTAAATATCTTAATATAATTAAACCTCTTTTTAAATCTGTTGGTGAAGGTTTGAGACAAGTGACTGGTAATAAAATAGACTATATTTATTGGGATGATCCTAATGAGCTTGTAGATAGGTTAAGACTTCTTTGGCTAAGTCGCCAAGCCAGTAACTCAGGAGTGGATAATGAAATAGATTCCATTATTGAGGAATTAAGAGAAAGTGGAATTATTTATTAAATAAAAATATGTTTATAGATAAATTTTATCGTTTATATAATCCATATAATAAGCCTACAGAACCCAGGGCTAGTCATGAACCTACTTTAAATTTAAAAGACGATAGTTGGAATTGTTTAAACCGTAAAATTGGTAATGTTAAAGATGGGGAGTTTGTAGATGATGTATCAACTTTGGGTCAGACATTAACTAGAAAAGGTGATGTATTTTTACAAGGTAAAACTAAATATGAGTTTTTAGAATCTAAGAATAAAAATTGGAATGCTAAAAAACAGAAAATTACTAATGTGGAAAAGGGTGAAAGTTTAGATGATGTGCCCACTTTACAACAGACTTTAATACGAACAGATGGTGGTACATTTGTACAAGACAATAAAAATTATGAATTTTTAGAATCAGAGAATGGTGTTTGGAATGCTAAGAAACGGAAAATTACTAATGTAGAAAAGGGTGAAAGTTTAAATGATGTGCCCACTTTACAACAGACTTTAATACGAAAAGAAGATGGTAATTTTGTACAAGATGATAATAATTATGAATTTTTAGAATCAGAGAATGGTGTTTGGAATGCTAAGAAACAGAAACTTAGCAATTTGATAGAAGGTACAGATAGTAAGGATGCTGTGAATGTTTCACAAGTTCCAAAAATGGAAGCAGGCTATTGGGATTTTAATAATAAAAGGTTAGTACGTGTTAAACCTGCTGTTGATGACACTGACTGTGTTACAAAAGAACAGACTATAACTTTTGATAAAAAAGAAAAATGTTGGGATGCCAAAAAACAATATATAAGAAATCTGCCAATGGGGGAATATTTAGATGATATTTGTTTAATGTCACAAGCTATGTATTATGATGGATCAAAATTTGTATATGGAGGAAGAAAATTTAATTTGATGGAATACAATCCTGATTTATTAGTTGCTGACCCTACATCTTTGAGCGGATTTAAGTATATAGATAATAGACCATATATACCAGAAAACTATGTATTTAAAAGAATGGAAGATAATCTATTGATTGGGGCTAATGGTAATATATTTACAGTACAAGGAAAGAGTGATGTTATAAAAAATGAATGAAATTGCATACGAACTTCATAAGCCTGCAAGAAAGAATTTCATTAGAAGGTCTTTTAAAGTAATAGGTATAAACGAAACTGTACAAATAGATTTAATTGATATGCAAAACTATGCTAGAGAAAATTCTGGCAATAAATATATTTTAACTTTAATAGATATATTTTCTAAAAAAGCTTATGCTGCTCCGCTAAAGAATAAGACGGGTTTGGTGGTTACAGAAGCCATTAAAACCATTCTACCAAAGGGGGTTAAAAACATTCAATCTGACAATGGAAAAGAATTTGTTAATCAATATTTTAGCAAACTAATGAAACAATTAAATATTAATCACTATCACACATTTTCTACAACTAAGGCTGCAATTGTGGAGAGGTTTCAGAGAACTTTAAAGAATTGATTATATAGAGAATTTAGTGCTCAGGGAAGTTATAAATGGTTGGATTTACTTCCAAAGTTAATTCGAAAATATAATAATAAGGTGCATAGATCTATAGGAATGAAGCCTAACCAAGTGAGTATTAAGAATAGTAAATATGTGCATGAGAGGTTGACTTCTAAAGTAGTGCAAGTTAAAAAGCCAAGATATAAGGTAGGTGATAGTGTGAGAATTTCCAAGTATAAACATGTTTTTAGTAAAGGATATACCCCGAATTGGACAGGTGAGCTATTTACAATAGCAGAAGTTAAGAATACAAAGCCTGTGACTTATATCTTGAAAGATGAAAATGGTAATATAATCAGGGGAGGCTTCTATACAGAGGAATTGTTAAAGACCAAATATAAAGACATGTATTTGATAGAAAAGGTTATTAGGAGAAATGGTGATTTATTATATGTCAAATGGCTTGGGTTCCCAAGTAGCCAGAATTCATGGATTTCCACTAAGGATGTCCAAGGGAGCGCGCCATGAGCCGGGAGCGCGCCCGAGTTCGCGTACAAACCTCGCACTGTCAAGTTGATGATTTTGAGAATATACATGTGAATGGATATGGATTTGAAATAGTAATAGTGTTGTACAATGGTATTGAACATTTATATAGGCTTGTATAGGCCGAGAGCTGGATTTTTAAAAAAGTGGTCAAAAAAAGCTCACCATGTTATTCTTATGGGGAAAACGTGCCTAAAGTGATGTTAAACCATCATATTGCCTCTACTCTAAATTTACACTTGTAAGGGTCAATAAATATAAGAAATAGCTTTTTTAGCTTAATATCGAATATATTTATGGGGAATAAGTAAGAAATAAGGTTTGACAATTATATAGGGATATTTAGGCAAAGATCAGGATTTTTGGTTTTAGTGGCCAAAAAATGATCCCATGTTATTTCTTATGGGAAAACGTGCCCCAAGTGACTTTAAACCCGTATATTATATCTACTGATCCTTTTGCCATGTCCACAGCAGATTCTCCTTTTTTTCTCATATTTGACACTTTTCTAACCCAAGTTTTGTCTGTTGCAGCTCCTAGACTCTGATGGAGATCGAGACCCAGGATCCAGCTACGCACCAGACCGCCGTCCCTTCCCAAAGAGGGACTACTACGGCTACGACCCCTCCCACCACTTCACCATGGACCATCTCATGCACCCCTGAATAACCCTCTCAATGTCTCCAACTTGCTGTTTTTAATTTTTTTCTGTAATAAATTTAAAGCAATACTGTTGTAAGCTATGTTACATAAAATACGTTTTGAAAATATACTAATCGTTTCCTTCCGAGCATCAAAACTGTTCAGATTTTGTACTTATCCATTTCGTTAATTGTAAGAGTTTGTTTGATGCATTAAATTTACTTTTGTAACTCTTCTGTATTTTTATTATGAAACTCCATACTAGGGTGGATTAAAAGATGTGAAATGCATTCAGTCAATAATTTGGAATGCTTGTGAGTAGTGTTGTATATATAATTGGTACACAATCCTACCAACCTTTCTAAATTTGTATGTTATATTAAATTACCGACTGTTAAAAAAAAATTAACATCTCCATCAAGAGATATGCATTTTCAACGTAATTTAGAATATGGCCCTTCTTGTTAAAACTTTACTTCAGTCATAAAAACACTCTTCACAAAAAATGCATACTGTACCTAGAAAAAAGCTAGTCTTTCCGGCCTAAAAAGATATGTTTTGAGACTTTTTTCCTTTTTTTAAGGAAATATTTTAAAAAGTGGATTAATTTAACGTACTTTAAGAAAGAAAATTAAAAATATGCGTATTTAATAAGATAAAATTAGTTATTTAACTTACACTAAGTACAGAACGGTAACTTGGAGATCTACAATATTGCCAGCTGATAAATTATCCATCTAAAACAAGTAAGCAAAGTTCCACGACGTGATATCTTTGAGGAAAACTCAATTATCTCCGAAACTTAAGCTCATTGTTGTGCATTTTCGATCTCATAAAGAACTTTAATCACTACTAAAGAAAATATCAACAACTTTTAATTGCTTCCGGCGCCTGTCCCTCAGTCAATATCATATTTAAGGTGTTTTGTTAGAAATAAGGTGTACTAGCGTACATGTTGCTCGAATTCGAGCAATTGAAAAGTATTTACAGGAGTTATTATTAAGTTAAAGTAAAAGTTAAAGTATTATTAAGTACAGGAGTTATTTCAAAACGAATAACAGTCATATTTACAATGAGTTTAAAAGAGTCAACCCAAAGATCACCGGTGTGTAACTCAGACCATGTTTATCTTCGTTATTGATAAGCCTAAAGCATTCCGGCCGGTTTTCTCCTTCTAAAAATGCCTCGCTGTACAGGCAACACAGGTCATTGATAGAGGGCCAATTGAGAACGAAAAGTAGTTTTGGGGTAGTGTTAGAGCGCATTCGTAAACTAATAGTTGAGATTGTCCAGGGTCAGGTGCTGACTGTGAGGAGTTGAGCCTATTACGCGCCACTGTTCTGTAGCTGCGGTCGTTATCACGATTACACCTCCTGTCTATTTTATATGTGTCGTTGTCATCGCGGCGGAGGCATTTAAAAGAATAAAACAACAAATAATATAGCGACATAGCGACACAAAACAACGATAAATACACAAATTTAAGATACAACCATACTGACATGATCCGTCTTGGGGGTTATGTTTACACAAACTCAAATAGTAAATAAATTTACTCAATGTGTTTCATTGAATCGAAAAATAAATAACAGCAATTAAATTATACAGCTGATCAAAATGTAAACAATTATGTTCTTCATAAGGATAGCATGGGAACTTTCAAAGCCACTGGGGCAGAACCCAAGGGACTTTGTCAAAAGTGTAAGGCCAGTTTGCAAATCTACGCGACACGCTCTTTCCAATGAGACGTCAATGGATAAAATCGGTTAAGAAATGGCGGAGGAGTTCAACCGACAAAGTTTCATGTAGCGTATTAATTATATAGATAACCCAAGCTGGCGTCGAAACATCTGTCTTTATTTTTGAGGTAAAATGTTCAAAACAGCTGATTATACTAATATGATGAACAACAATGCATCTTAACATTGAAATAATGACTGTAGTTTGCCTGATCATTCCGTCAACACCTTATTTAAAGCCCCGTTCACACGGGGCGAGTTTACAAGCTACACTCCGGCTTTTTTACACGCAGCTAGTAAAATAGCTCAGTGTGAACGACGTACTCGCTCAAAAGCTGCTTGTAAAAAAGCTCTGGAAAAAGTTGACGCTGCCGCTACTTTACACGCCAACTCGCCAGCTTTTGAGCAAGTAGGCGTGTAAAGTAGCCCAGTGTGAACACAGTTGATTGTGCTTGTGCGCGTGTTATTCAAAGATGGTGGAGGATTTGGTTCAAGCCAGCTACTGAGCGAGTGGAAAAAGCATCGTGTGAACGACTACAAGCGCACTCGCCGACTCGCCGGCGTCTTTCTACACGCCGGCGAGTTGGCTAGTGGACAAGCTCCGTGTGAACGAATACAAGCACACTCGCCAACTCGCCGGCTTCTTACACGCCGGCGAGTAGCGTGTAAACTCGCCCCGTGTGAACGAGGCTTAATGTGATTTGTTAGAAATAAGGTGTAGAACCAACCTACGCTGGTGTCGAAACACCTTTCTTTATATTTACTGTATAAATGTTCAAAACTGCTGATTATACTAATTTGATATCGACAACAATACATCTTAACAATTTAATAATGACTGTAGTCTGCCTATCAACCCCCTTTTAAAGGGGTTTGTTAGAAATAAGTTGTGTAACCTACGTTGGTGTCGAAACACCTTTCTTTACTCTTAATGTAAAAATGTTCAAAACATCTGATTAAACTAATTTGATATTGACAACAATGCACCTTAACAATTGTAATGGCTGTAGTTTGCCAGACCATTTCATAATAGAAAATCTATTCAGGCAGTACAACCCTACCATTAAGACACCATGTACGTTATAACATACGTATAGGGCTATAAAGGCACTGGTAAACGCTACTAAACAAAGAATTGTTCAGCTAAGAACTTTCTTCTCCCAAAATTCTAAAATTAGAATCGCACAGTGGAAACTTATCATACGAAAAGGTGAGACATTGTAGGTTACACCCAAATTAGTTTATTTACTCAACGCAGTCTGCTGAGTGGGATACTAAAATTATTTTAGAAATAAACTAACCATACCTATTGGCAATAAGATGAACATTGAAAGACATTGAAGAAAGGGAGAAAGAATGACGTGTGCTAAACACGTCTCTTGGATACGTTTGGTGTTGAACTACAAGATATATGAACTTGTTTATGTTGCGTGTGGCACGCAGTTTTAAAATCTCACATTATTATTCTACAACCGGTTTCCCTCATAAACGTAAACAACAAACTAAAATTAAAACATGTCGCGTAGTTACCAAATTACTCTCAGTTTTAGTATGTGTAAAGATTTAAAAAAATATAGTAGAACGGCTATATTATTTATGATAAAGATCTCTGTATAGTAAAATTGTTAAAATATGTAACGTTAGCATTTGAATATATTTTTTAAGGGACTGTAAACATGTCGAATGGCCCATATCAATAGTTAAACCGTAACAATTTTTTTTTTAATTTCACATATTATCAAATTGGTTTTTACAAATTTGTTTAACAATTTAAAATGTATTCTCAATAGGTGAAATAGAATAAATAGAAGTGGTCAATAAGTGCAAAGAATTTATTGGGCATTCTTGTTTCAAACCGACCACAACAAGTTAGCTTAGGTTAGGTAAGGTTAGGTTATTTGCACTTTGAAAAATGCCTCTTGATCTAGAATAACAGGTAGTTAACACAAGAGCAGCTATTATTGTTTATATTTTATGAACTATGCGAAATGGCTCTTTTTCGCTATTTCAAAGACAGCCACAGCCCCCACTGCACCATATTCTCAGAGCGAAAAATATCAATTTAGTAATCAAACACTACATCCACCAACAGCAATTATAAAGACAATTTGTCAATAGGGCCCATGCTCTACTCTTAGTCATCCACGTTTCTACCTTGTAGAATGTCAACTCTTGTATGTTTACGAACTCGCCAGTGAAGTACGGCTCATGTCTATTCTAAACTATTTGTTGTTCAGCGCCCGCATGGAGACCTGCCTCAGGCTTGGCTCTAGGAGTTGGGACAAAGAAAGTGAACCTCTGTCGATATATGAGGCGAGGTGAACCATGTTACATTTCTTGGACTTTCACTCGGAGAATGCGAGTTTTGAGGCGCTCCTGCACCGTGCATTTCCCGCACATGCGCCCACACACTACAGAAGCGTGCGCGGAGACAACGCATGCGCATCAGAGATGACACGCAGCGCATCCGTCTGACGTCTCCGGCACGATCTGCTACATATCAGGCGAAAATACGATGGGCACTTTTACTTAAGGGAACACCCCATCAAGGATATTATTGTCCACAGTTAAAAAATACAGCTGGTTTATTGGCATGTGGTGTTAAAATAAAACACAGCTGAACAAAACCTGTATACATTTTCAGTCAAAAAGGAAATCCATTATTTGAAAGGAACATTTTTAATCAATAAATGAAGATAAAAGGGGATTTAAATATTGACAGGCCATATTTTAGAGCCAGTAGGTTACCTTTTAGCCCAATATGTTATCCGTATGTTGATCAAACATATAAATACAACTATAAAATGCAATATATAAATATATAAATGAAATTTTTAATAGTTTTAGGTAGCAAGCATTTTTAAAATTGACTATTTAATCTGTTCTAAACAGTCTGGTAGCAACATAAATTAATACCTCAGTCGTTATAACTCTAACTTTACCTTCCTAAACTCACAGTTGTCGTTTCTACACCAATCACAGTACAGCCGGAAGTTTGTTAACATCCATATATAACATAACCTTTTTTTAAACAAAAATAACCTTAGTTATATTTTATATATATACAAAAAAGTCATATAATTTATGTGTTACTATAAGGTAATTATGGTGGTAGAAACAATCTTGTGTGTTTACGAGCACAATACACAAATACGAGTATAAGCCTATATTCAGTGAAGTTTTTTTGATTCGTCAACGAATTCAATATAAACAAGTTATAAATCATAAAATTACTTATATCCAGACTGATGAAGCGTAAACGCATATCAGTCCATGTTGCTATAAGGCATTGACGACATGGGAAGAAAAGCCAGAGTGATGTGTCCCGACGGCTCATTTGCGGTATCTTCTCTCTGATTCTGCTGTTTTCGAATAAAACTTTGTGACAAAAGCAATCAGCAGCTTTCCTCAACGCGTTGAAAGTTCGGTTCTTTTCTCAGGCACTGCTTCAAAATGCATATGCAAAAAATAAGTTCAGTCTCTTTCACAGAAC